CCCCCCCCAGCCCCGCTCCCCACTGCTCTCCCAAGTGCCAAGGGGGCCGCAGACAACAACCCCCCACAGGGGGGCCGCACGCTCGCATCCACGCGTACATATTCAACACGGTCCTCTCCGTCGCAGCCCGGCACCACAGGGGAATAGCCTCTCCAACCTACGCTCTCCCGCCCCTCCTGGCCCCTCCTCGCTGCTCCCTCTCCCCTTCCGTTCCCCACTACATCTCCCCCCCCCCCCCATACACACACGCACACGCACAGGACCCCATCGCCACCATGTCTTGGGCTAGCCTGGCTGCGCCGGCCCCTGGGGTCTCGTTCCTCGGGCTGACGCTCCTTGTGCTAGGCTTCCTCCTGACGACCAAGGTGATCGCGCGCATCGCGCACGGTCGCCGCGGCATGGTCATCGCCAACTCCACCAGCCGGAACTCCCCCCTGTGGGCGGGGTTCATCGACCATGCGCTGGCCCGGCCTGGGACCGCCCCCAGCCCGGCGGCCGCCGGGCTGCTGGCCTCCTGCCAAGGCTGGGCCCGGCACTATCTGGAGCCGGTGTGGGTCCTGCTGGTGTCCTGGGTGCCGCTGGCCCTGATCGGCGGCCATATGAACGAACTCTTCTTCCCGATGCTGGCCCGGAATGACGATGGGTCCTTCCGGCCGGCCAAGCCGAAGGACGTGGCGGCCAACATGGCTGCCGTCGGGGGGCCCCTGGCGCAGGCCTTCCAGCGGCGCGTGCTCTTCCCCCTGGCACGCACGCTGAACCTGGGCCTTGGGCACATTCAGACGGTGTTCGCCGCGCTGGAGCACGACTGGCCCGGACCGCAGCTGCTCGAGCCGCAGCCGAGCCCGGCCGCCGGCTCGACGCCCTTTGTCCCGACCACCCTCGCCACCGGACGCCTGCCATACGTGCGAGAGCATGTCCAGCTCACCGGCGGCGCGGTCATCTCCCTCGACTGGGCCGTGTGCGATGCCGAGCGCGATGACCTCACCCGGTGGCTGGGCTCCACCACGGTCGAAGCCGCGATTGAGCATGGCCCGGATGAGGAGGAAGCCCTGCGTGCGTACCACGCCTGGAAGTCCCGCCCGGTGGTGCTCATTCTCCATGGTCTGTCCGGCAGCTCCGGCGAGGGGTATGTCCAGGGGTTCATCCGGCTGGCGGCGGTGTCCCTCGGCACCGAGGGCGTCGGCGGGGCGCACAGCGATCCGCTGGCCGCCCCTCGGTATGTGGTTCTCAATGCGCGTGGCTGCGGCGACAGCCCAGTTCGCACGGCGCTCCTCTTCTGCGGGTCCTACACGGACGACCTGCGCACGGTGGTCCGCTACCTGCGCGAGTATCGCATGGTGCCCAACCCCTTCTGGGGCACGTACGACGAGGGGACCCCCGCCCCGGAACCGGCACCGACGACCTCCGCCTTGGACTCCTCCTCCTCCTCCTCCTCCTGCTCCTCGACCACCACCGCCACCGCCACCGCCACCGCCACGCCACCGGAGATGTCCATCCGCACCAATACCCGCTGTCCGCCGCTGCTGGCGGTGGGCTTCTCCATTGGTGCCAACATCTTGCTGAACTTCACCGGCGAGTCGGCCGACCAGCGCTATCGGGCATCCTACTCGGCGACGGCCGTCCCACTGGTCGATGCCGTGGCATCGGTGTGCAACCCCTTCGACTTTGAGCTGTGCTCCATCGCCCTGCAGGGTCTCGATGGGAGCGTGGTTCCGCCGCTGCTCTTTGCCCCGGCCATGACCGCCGGCCTGCGGACCATGTTCAGCAACATGGTAGATGTCTTCCACCCGGAGGTGGAGGCCGACTCGGATGACACCCCGGCCGGGGCCATTCCCCTGGCGCCCTCGATGTCGTCGGTCGACCGGCTGGCCTTCTTCCGGCCGGTGGCCGCCGAGGACGTTCTCAATGCCCGGTCTCTGCGGCAGGTGGACATGGCGCTGACCACGCGCCTGTTTGGCTTTGACCAGCCGGAGGACTATTACAATGACGCCGGGTGCCTGCAGCGCCTGCTCGGCATTGCCCGGCCGACGCTCATTCTCTCGGCTCTCAATGATCCGATCGCGGTGCCCGAGGCCCTACCTTCGGACGAGGTGATGTACGTTCCTGGCCTGTCGCACTGCCTGTGAGAAGGCCCAGGCTCCGGGGCGTGTCGCTGGCCCAGGATGCTCCTCCTCGCCGGCTCCCGCCTCCGCCTGCCCCCTCTCCCCCCCCCCCCCCCCCCGACCCCCCCGCTGACACATCTCAATCTGGGCATGACCCGTGTGCAGGAAAAATCCCAACCTGGTGATGGCCATCACCGCCTCTGGCGGCCATGTTGCCTGGCATGAGACCGATCCCGCTTGGCCGACGGCCGATCGGTTTGGCCGCCGGAGCTGGTCCTCCCGGCCGCTGGTGTCCTACTTCTCCATGATCCTCCACAAGTACTTCCACAACACCCTGGAGAAGGAGGTCGCCTCGCTGGGCTACACCCCGGCCAAGATCGAGCTTAGCAATGCCAACCTCAATGTTCGCGCGCGTTTGAACTTCCAGCCCGACACGCCAGGCATGCCGGACAATGCCCTCGAGTGGACTCCCCTGCTGCCGGAGCTCGGCCGGCACCAGCGCTTCCGGATCTTCCCCCGAGTGCACCGGCTGGATCCGATCCACAGCCGGGCAAACTTCCTCCCCTGCGAGTGCCTGGCCCCGCTGGCCACGGACACCAGCCGCTCGGTGGCGTCTCTGCAATTGCAGCGGCAGGTGGGCGCCGGCAGTGGCCCGGTCCCGGCATCTTCGACCTCCAGCCGTCTGGACGGCCCGATGCCCCCCTGCTCGTCGACCGCGCTCTACAAGCACGACGACCAGTGGATCGTGGCCACAGACTGCCAGCCGCTGCCGATCCTGGCCGTCGACAACCCGGACACCCTGCTGGCCACCTACGAGAGCCCGATCGCTCGCTTTGCCCGTCTCGGCCTCATCGGCGGCTTGACCATCGGTGCGGCGGCCATCATTGTGCCCACGCTCCGGTCGTGGATCATGGTTTAAACAGCTGCCGGACATATCCTTCTCCTCCCTCTCTTGCTTCCTTCCCCCCCCCCCCTCTCCCCTGTTTGCGCCTCGCCAAGGGGGCCCGGGCGTGACGAGTGTGTGCGCGCAGGCATGCTTGCGTGAGTGCACCTGGCGGGGTGTGTCATTGTTTCCCCTCCCCCCCGCTCCAGCCGGGAGGCTGAAGACTGTGGTCCCATTGATCGTGCCATGTCTGGGGTCTCCCCTCTCCCCTCCTCCCCTCTCCCCTCCTCGCTTCTCCCCCCTTTGCTCGGGAAGAGAAGAAACAACATTAGTGTCTCCTATGAAGCAGGCCATCTATGTTAATAGAACTGAACTTTGCTGACCGTTCACTCGGTCTTTGGGCGATGATCCGCTGGCATGGCCGATGAAGGAGAACCTGCAACAGCCGGGCCTGGCTGAGGGGCGCTGGTCCTCGGGCCTTTCCGAACCCAGGCCACCAGCAGGGCAAACACCAGGGCCACCGCCAGGACAGCTCCCGAGCGCCGTAGGGCAATGGCGAGCGTGGGTGAGGTGACTGCCGCGCCCGTCTGCACGGGCACAAGGGACAGGGGGATGACACCTGGTCGGGCAAGCCGGAGAGGGAAGGACCGAGGGGGTAAGCAGAGGCCACCGATGCCAGGGGGGG